CACTCTGGTATCAAACACATAATTGACAAAGATTTTAGTACCAAATAGGTTAAGCCCTACCTGAGAAGCAGGACGCGGAAACGAATGACCCTGAGAGCTTTCCTTTGAAAAATATACAAATCTGATCCTGACATCGGAAATTGGAATGTCTACATGACCGAGCGAAACCATTGTCTCAAACTTGTCAGCGAAGACAAACTGAAACACCAACAGGACTTTGTGATGAAGTTCTGATGCAATCCTAAGCTACTTTACGGACCTGTTGAAAACTATGGATTCCATGGCCTTGGATAGTAGAGAAAGAAGGGATACTGGGCGATGGTTGGAGGGATCAGTTCTGCTTCCACCCTTGTAAATCGCGGTTTTTATTCCAAGCTTCCATATAGTGGAAACTTGATTCCAGCGCTGCTTAGACAAGAACCAAGTTCCCGCCATGTGGAAGTTTAGAATAATAAGCCCGATTCACAAAGGTGGAAGCAGAACTGATCCCTCAAACTACCGCCAAGTATCCCTTCTTCCTATACTCCTCAAGATCATGGAATCCATAGTTGCAATGCAATGGTGTGCTATCTGGAAAACCGTAACATCATTGCGCTAGAGCAGCACGGTTTCCGTCGACAACGGTCATGCACAACAAATTTATTAATCGCACGCAGTAGTTGGACCAAGGCAGCTGACGCTGGAGAAGGCGTACATGTGATCTACCTGGATTTTTCCCAGGGCTTTCGATCGTCTAGACCATCGGATACTACTATCCACGCTGCAGCATTACGGGACCGGCGACCCTTTTTTAAGCTGGATTGCCAACTTTCTACTTAACGGCAATTAGTGGTCAGAGTTCGGAGCGCTTTATCGGACCCCATACAAGTCGAGTGTGGTGTGCCGCAAGGCTCAGTTCTAGGTCCACGTTTGTTTTTGGTGTTTATTAATGACCTTGCACAGGGAAGCGCTTCAAACTTCCTAATGTTTGCCGACGATACCAAGATCTGGCGCAGGATCCAGGCGAACGGCGAACAACATGCGCTTCAGAGTGACCTAGGTACGGTGTATCCATGGTCAACCAAAAACTTACTGCATTTTTAACGTCAGTAATTGCAAGATGCTTTCTGTCCAACATCAGAGCAGCTACTCATACCGGCTCGGAACGAATATACTAAAACGATCAACTCCGGAGTGTGACTTGGGTGTCCTGGTTCAAGATGACTTGGGTTGCTCCAGGCAATCCGAAAAGGTCTCGAAGACTGGGAACCAACACGTCGGACTCTTGCGACCGGCGTTTGGACAAATAAACAGCTCATGATTTCGACAAAGGCTCAGTGCGTCGCTTGCTAAGGAACGAGGTCCCAGAAAAGTACATAAAGATCCTACACACAATCTACCTCCAATTCTCCGACAGAGTGAGTGCCTATGACAAGCCTTCGTCGTCATGTGCTGTCAATGGCGGTGTACGTCAGGGCTGGCCTTTGTCCCCTTTTCTCTTCAATTTTGCGTTTGAAGCCGTCCTGTTGAGATCTTTGGAAAGTTGTCAACATTTTGGACTACAACGACTGCCGGGAAAACAAGCAACGGACTTGGATTATGCCTATGACATCGCCTTACTTGGTGACGACTCGCATAGCATGCAAAGCATTCTAAACCGTTTGGCGATTGAGGTAAGTAAGTTCGGTCTGTGCTTCGCCCCATCAAAGTGTGATGCGCTGCTCCAGGATTGGTACTCGCCCGTTCCCGTGCTCACTCTTGATGGTACACAGCTTGAACAAGTGGATAGCTTTGTCTACCTTGGCAGCTGCTTGTTTGCTGGTGGCTCTATGGAGAAGGATGTTTCTCTCCGCATCGCCAAAGCTCGGTAATCGTACGTCAAGCTGAAGCATTTGTGGCATCTTCGGGATGTTTCCCTATTTGGTAAAGGTCGTGTGTACAGTGCCATCGCGCGTACGGTGTTGCTATATGGAAGTGAATCGTGGCCAGTTCACGTGGATGACATGCGCCGGCTCTCGACCTTCGACTATGGGTGCTTGAGGAGGATTGTTTGTGTATGGTGGCAGCAAAGTATTTCCAATGTTGAAGTCCGACGTCGTGTCATAGGGGATGCGAGTATGCCCCTCAACAAGCTGGTTTTGCTGCGTCAGCCAAGATGGCTGAGTCACGTTTTGCGTAACTCAACTGAGCGTTTGCCTTACCGCACCCTTTTCGCTCGTACAGGGCTTGTCTGGAAGAAACCGCGTGGGGGTCAGCCGGCCCCTTGGCGTCAGCATATGAAATCGTTGACTTCACCTCTTGCTGCCATTGGATACACACGCCTGCCTGGTTGGAGACCAAATGATGAAGAGTGCCGATGACTAGAAACATTGGAAGCTATGGCACGTAGTGGGAGATTTGTGTGCATACCTTTAGATTCAGATGTCTAATTCTTAACAAATGAATACGAAAACAAGAAAAGTGGCGTTTGAAAAATAACACAAACAGTTCCGTTCTTACGGCACAATAAATGACGTGTGTTGCTCACCTTCAACTAATGCGCCACGATGAAGATGTGGTGAATAAACCTGTATTCTTCTTATGATTTCCATGGTTTTGTTGGACTCTATGTCTATTCGTTAGACCGTTGCTAATGGTTGGCAGCAACCGGGTCCGGATTTGCCTGTCAGTGCAGCTTAATTAGGACAGCCACAGGACGCCTGCGCCTACAGACGGGTGGCTTGCGCTGCATCACCCACAGTTCCATCTACACACTCCATATTCGGTGTAAACGCGAAGAAATAAGACCGCAAGGCAAGTGGATGGGAGCCACGTTTCATCAACGGAACCGGCCCACACTTCTTCACCGGCACACACAAGCACGCTGTATTTGTGGAATCATGCGCCCACAAGGCGGCGGCTGGAACCTAGTCCGCTCCACACAAAAACCATGTCCACAGAACCAGTCATTGTGCCTAACACGACCACAAGGACCGTGCACCCCGTCCCCTCCAGCAACGAGCAACTGTCTACAGGAGCCAGTATAGACGAGGTAGTGGATAATAGACAGGTAAACATCATGTCAACATGCGCATCAAGCGTAACCACAAGCATAAACACACTTGGAAGGACGATATCAAATAAAATGGATCGGATAAGTCATACGGATATGCCGACTTAACTCCTCCGTAAATTGGCATATGAAATAAACTCGTAGTCAACATATTTACGATGCACTCAAGATGGAAAAAAGAGATAAAACGTAAATACAATAAACGAAATTAAGCACCTTTCGTTTAAGCCACGTGTGTAAGTAGATAGAAGATTATTCAGATAGACATTAAAATGAGGTAACAAAGTGAGTACCAACAAAATATAGCAAACCGATCACTTGAACTAAAGAAATTCAGCACGCCAGCATGCGGTTGGTAAATCGAATACGGCGTACCTACCAACGCTCCGCCGGCTCTTCTTACTCTCACAGTAGCACCCGTCGTCGTTTCCATGCTGGACCCGAGTGGCCTCGCTCGTGGCTTAATAAGCCTGACTGCCTGATAGGCTCACCTTGATCATGTTCTGGTAACGAAGCTTTGGTCGCCCCACAGGTCGTTTCCTAATACTCAGCTGACCATATAGCAGCTGCTTCGGTATCCGCCTCGAATCCATACCCCACACATGACCGAGCCACCTCAAGTGTCTCATCAAAAGTATGCAGCTCACTGCATACATTCCACTTCAGCGCAACACTATGTCTGCAGCTCTGTCGTACCCACCAATGCGCATAATCCGCCGCAAACACAGTTGATGAAACCGCTCGAGATATCTCAAGTCTCGCCGGCACATCATCCACGTTTCGCTGCCGTGATCAACGGTTGCAAATACACACAAATCTTTTCGTGCTGTCTAGGAACATGTGCAAGGGAAGAGTAGTAAATGATTCTTGTGGATCCCTGACTTGAAAGATGAACTTATATTATTCGACGAAGAAACTTGTGGTCTGCTTAACCCATTTTCAAAAGAATTGTAAATGCATGGTGGTCAAACACCTTTCGAAATATAAAATTCCTTTCATAATTCCAAAGAAGAACATCGGGCATGCTCTTTAGCCACGTACCTGCAACTAACAAAGGGCTGAAAACGGGGTCACACGAACTCCACTGATAGTTAACAGTTTTCTGAATGGTTGCTTTGCAAGCTACCACTGTATGTTTGGGGTTGCTGTTAGTTGTCTTGAAGACGGAGTGGTGGTCGCTGTCGATCGATAATAATTGTCTCGAGGACGTTGAGAATAGGGGTCTTTCGACTGCACATGAGGACTGTGAATGATGCGACTGGGTCGACCTGATAATCGGAGATCAGCACATACCCAGCAAATGCTGTGACAACTCTGCTCCACAATCCACTTAGGGCAACCATTGTGGGTTTTATCCGTTTAGGGAGCCACTTTGGTATGCTTTCTTTTATTCGGACTGATAGATTTCTATCAGTGCACTCAAGATAGCTGTCTTCACAGCTACACGTCTATTTGCAAAGGCAGTGGGGCGTACATTACTTCTACATGAAAACAGCTGTCACACATGCCTAATAGACTTAGTTAGATCCAGAAAAATAACGAGCAAACAAACTCTTCAGAAGTACACTGGGGAGAAGCACAACAAATACATGAAGTTGTACCCTGGTGCTGATCTCCTTAGACTCCGCTCTTGCCGAGCATTTTAGCGTTTTCATATTATTCGGTAATAACTCGCCCATAAAAGTAATCTGTACTGACAAACATGGGCTGGTGAGGTCCCACGATCGCTCTGGAGGTCTACCACACTCCATCCGCACTGTGTGTGCTCCATCTGACCCTTTGGTGCATACCAAATGATGTGCGTCAGGACTGTGACACTTTGAGTTGTACTCATGGCATTGCGACTAATCATTAACTGCATAGCGGGAGGCGTGGCTGTGTCCTATCCGAGCGCCAGTATAGTAGGGTAGGTAAGAGGTAATCGATACATCTGAATGCGAATGATAAGTGATTTGAGTTGAATGCTTACCTCTAATTCAGCCTTCTTTTCACGCAACTCTTTTAAACTTCCAGTATATTTTGATTCCAGTTCTCTCAATTGCTTGGTTAATTTCATTGCGTGTTCCATCCGTCTTGCTGCCAAAGTCGGAAGGACTAGCGTTCCGTGGCGAGTCGCAGCTTCACACTTTTTATCACGCTTGGACAGGAAGAAGTAATGTTCTATGTGAGGAAACAGGTCATGTATTACTGAAGGTGACTCTGGTTGCGTGTCGCCGACACTGTCAATCGCCTCGTTCAGTTGATTTTCCAACTCTTCATAGGCTGACAGCTTGTTCTCAGCTTCGCGAAGTTTGCACTCTAGAAGAGTGCACTCTTTGCTTGATTGCAATTTTAGCTAGAATGAAAATGTAAAAGGAACCGTAAATGTCTACTTGCGTTTGTACAGCGTACTAAACGGAAAGAGGACAGCTCGCAAGTTTAAGATTAGTTAAATAAGCCTTACAAGATTTCATTTCCAACCGCTAGTGACAAGCACTGAATGGGACGGTAAGGAAGCTCTCAGCTTTTCTACCCGTTTTATTGTCTATTCAACTGATACACTCATCTACATGCAAGATAAGAAACTACATCAAATGCTTTGCCTCGAAAATGGTCACTGCGCGTGTTTACCCACCAGCCATTTGATTGCATATCCTATTTCTGCTGTTCCATTTGGCGATCGCCTGCGCCAGTCAAATGTGCAGCATGGCCGACATGTTAACTACTACGAATACAGATCCTCTAATACACATGTTAACAGGGCATTTCATTAATGCTCCAGGAAAGTGCAGTCCAGAATCATCGTCGGAGGGACATATGGGGTGGAATGATTACCTTATCCTATGGGGCACTGAACGATCCCAGAATCAAAGAACAGCTGGGAATTTCACCACCCCCTAGTAATGCTTAGTGCTTTTAGTGTGTTGATCCTACATTTCTTGACCAGTCATCTCGACCACGTTCAACAATTTAGCTCCTTGAGCACTGCTGGTGACAGTAATCAGGAGTTAATGCTGATCCAAGACAAGCTTAGGATTGGCATGAACGATATACGTTTGACTATCAACTCACGTTGAAATCAATTCCATCGGCTTTAGCAAGCGCCGACTTGAGGCTGTTAATTTTATCATCATGCGTTATGTTGTCATCTTCTACGCCACTTGGGCGGGTTTTCTCTGCTTGAACCTTGGAAATGAGGGTTAAACCGATAGTGTATTGCAACTTGTGATCAAGGAAACACACTGGTAGTCCTCGGTCCGGTAATATGCCACCTAATTTTGCTTTTAAGTAACCTGTGTTACATGGTGCGAAGTGTATCGCACTTGCGTCAGGGGGTGGTCAAACTCAAGGTTTACATTACAGCTCCATACCTTCTTTGAGATGATTCGCTTTATATCATCTTCAACTTAGCATACTGTCTGTTAGTACTGAAAAATCCACTTTTAACTATCAATTAGGGAATTATACGGAAAGGTTAAGTTCAGTGGGCCATAACTATGTCGGCAACGATGACGCAGCCATGCGGGCCTGAGCCTACCTCGTGATATGCCGTTCTGCTTGCTTCCAGCTGCGCAGTCAACTTGTCCACCAAGAGGAGGGCCTCTTTGCGAGCAGCCTGGGCGGCTTCTAGATCTACGGCGGATTTGCTGAACTCTTTGTGAGCAGCGAGATCGTTAAGTAGTTCCCCGGAAGTTCCAGCTCTCTGAACTTCAGGGTCGACTGCGTTCGTCAGGAGCTGTAGCATTTCGGTGCGTGATTCAAGCTCATGCTGAGTCTGTTTTAGTTCTAAACGCATTCCAGTCAGTTGGGTAAGCGCCTCATCACGTTGCTTTTGTAGTGATTTTATTTGTGTAGAAAGGGTCTCCTCCTTTGTTAACTGAAAATTAAGAAGAACGAAAGTTTAGCATTGCGAACCCAGTTTGTTAAAAGCAAGTAGGGACCAATTTGAACAGGTATTATTTCCAATGAGTATCCATAACTACCAATATATCCATACTGCTCTAACATAGTACCTGAAATGACTCTCTCCTCTGATACATACCTCCACCGGTTGACTAAACGTTCCCTTAAGTTGGGATTGACAATCACCGGTGCGTTGGTCTTCATTTCCTGATGAATCCGCTTGCTCACAATCACCTGCACGACGTGTTTCCAAGACGTTCAACCTAAGCTGTTCTCTTTTGTCCACCGCAGCAAGTTTCTGCGTCAGGTTGGATACCTAAAATAAAGCACAGATAGAAGTATAACCATTGCAAAGGGACAAGTCCATAATGGACTGCATTTTCCACCGGGGACGTATTTAATAGAGATTTTCATTCACGGATGGAATGATACAACCAAAGGAGACTTCCTTTGGTGGTAGAAATAAAATCCAAATCGTTACTCAGAAAAAGCTTTTCAAGTACACAAAACGGGAACCGACAGTGAGGCCGCATAGGCCAGTGAATCATGGATGAACGAAGACTGCATACTAAGCGCCATGTTGGTGGTCGAGCATAATTTATACTAAGCTGCAGCTTAAGAAATACGCTATTAATGCCCCTCCTCCTGCAATCTCCAGCCTAACTGACCATGGCAACATCGAGTTCACGGTGATGACGTTAGACGTCACGTCACCGGGAATAAGAGTACTCTCTTTAACAAGCCAGGTTCGCTGCAAGTCCTAAGCATGGCGCTTGGGCTTTTGCCGCACCGTGATCTATTCGCTCGTTCAGGACCGGGCTGGATGCCACCGTGTGGTGGTCAGCTTTCCGCTTGGCGTTAGCCCATGAAATCCGTGACTTCACCCGTTGTTACCGCTGGGGCCACACGCCGACATGGTTGGGGACCAGAGAACGAAGAGAGCCATTAGCAAGGTACAACTCAGAAAACGAAGCTCAAACGAAACCAATGCGGATCTATGCACATGCGTGTTTACATAAAAGGGCTTAAAACCTGACAACTGAAAGTGCCAAAAAGAAAAAATGCCTCGTGCAAAATAACAAATAATATGCTCCCTCTCCATGCGGCACAATAAATAGTGTGATACTAATTTTCAGCTATTGTGTCATGCATAACATGATGCACAGATTACACTTGTTGAATTCCCTTAACCTTCATCCTTTTCCTCGGCAGCATGTCTATTCATTTGAAGACTGTGATATATATATATATATATATATATATATATATATATATATAACCGAAGGAATAAAACCGAAAGACATGCGCATGGGATCCACGTTACATCAATGGAGCCGGCCACACTACTTCACAGGCAAACAAAAACATGCTGCAGTTTTAGAATCAAAGGCACACAAGGCAAAATGTAGGCCGTAGCCCACCCAACACACAAATCATGTGCATAGAACCAACGTTTGGGTCTAACACGGTCACGAGGACCGTGCACGCCGTCCCCTCCAGCAACGAACAAGTGTCTCCTGGAGGCAGTGTAATCGAGGCGCAGGGTAATAGACAGATAGGCACTTTGTCAAGATGCACATCAAGTACATCTACACCGGGGCTGTTAACCAACAGCCAACCACTTGAAATCACAAGATGAAATCAACTAAACCGTAAAAACCAGCGTTTGGAACAATGGTTTCATCTGGGTAAAAAAGCTAAGGCTTAACAGGTCCCATGGGATGGTCATAGTGAAACTTCAAAATAGGGAAAATTGTTAGCAAATTTAGGTTTACGTAGGGAACTCACTGAATTCTACGTAGTATGAACTGTAAATCCAAGATAAATCCATAAGAAGTGACGGCAAATAGGACGTTGGTAAAAGTCGTGTCCCCTAATGCATACATACAGGAGGTGAAAAACGTGGAACGAAGTCTGGGAGTTGATCGCCAATGAAATCAATTACATTCACCTGTGTTTCTCCGTTGGCAATGGGTCATGCAAGATGGTGCAGCGAAATAAGTGCACAGTCAACCCTGGAATTAAACACTGCCAGCGATGGAGCACATATGACAAATTCTGGTAGGGCATCCCAGGTACGGAAAACGCGCACGGAAAAGAAAATCCGACGGCATTCTAAACGACCGGGTTGCTGTGCCAGCTTGAGATGGTGGCCTCTCAAATTGCTGTCGTGACTGAGCTCTAGCAAATGGCGGCACGCGTGGTTGGGATCTATCAAAATCTGTTAAGCTAAAATGAGGTCCCCTCGCAATCGCCGATATTGACCACTGGAGACTCGAGCAATTGTAGCCTTCGTTCATACGGCAAATTATACAGACCCTTGACATTCTGGGTTGTCCGGCGTTGGGGTATCTCCAAAGCGATGAGATCTCTCCTCAGCCATGGCTGCCAGACCTGTATTGCGTATTTCACATGTGGCCTTATATATGAGCAGAGATTGTGGAAAAATCGAAGGGTCGAAGCGCCCGAATACACGCTTCAAGATGCCCACGTGTTGGATGCCCCTCCTTGACACCGTTTCAGTCTGATTCAAACACCTAAGGTCAACCTGGACCAAAACTCCCAGAGACTTCACGCCAGAAGCCTTTTGAAGCTCCTGCTTGCCAAGTTTGTAGGAATGTATAAACTTGTGCCATAGGTCCAGCACACTAAGTTTGTCCACATTGAATTGAAGTAGGTTCTGGACTGACCACGCGCATACTCTATCCAGATCAGCTTGAAATACTGTGATATTGTCTGGTGTATTCATTGCAATCCACACCTTGTTGTCTTTGGCATAAAGAAAGCAGTTCGCGCTTACGAGGTGGGTGATATCGTTATGATACGGCAACAATAATCACGGTCCAAGCACCGAACCCTGTGATACTCCGCATTCAACTCGGACGGGATCTGACAGCGGAACACGCACACTTACATCCAGGCGCTGGCGTAGAAGAAAGCTCCTTATCCATACTAGGAGAGGATAATTAATACCAAAGGTCTTGAGATTGAGAACCAGAATGTCATGGTCTAACCGGTCGAACACCTTTGAGAATTCAAGGAAGATTACATAAACTCCTGTGCCAGAGTCCATTACCTCAGTCCAGCTGGATCGTGCTAGTAGTAGATTTGTAGTGCACGATCGAGTTCAATGGTCAATGGTATATTGCGGATAAAAAAAGCAGATGCTCGACATATATCGCCGGATGATTGGTTATGAGTGAGCGAAATAAAGGCAAAACTAGCAATAGGATATAGTGAGCAAGTACAAATTGCGAACTTGCCGATTACGGCGTTCCCGTCCGTTATATGTACAATCAAAGGTTATCGTCTGTGGTTTCCGTGCAAAACTGGAGGTGGGTTGGTTTGTTTTTGCTTTTCTGCTGTTTGTTTGGCTCGTTTAGATTAGGTGATATGGTGTAGTGTGGCCAGTATACTGTCGACACGTGCTTTGAACACGGCTAATGTGGCGGCTGAAATAACAGCTTCTGTGAGGGTATTCAACGTATGGCAAACACGCAGCGAGAAGACGTTTCTTCCACACTCCAACCGACCGTATTGTTCGGCCAATTTGAGATGATGGCCTCTCAGTTTGTTGTTTGACTCAGCTTCAATAGGCCATAGCAGGGGTGATTAGTGTTGTTTAATATTTGGTAAGCCATGATTAGGTCGCCACGCAAACGGCGATAACGTCCGCTGTAAATGCCAAGCACTCTGAGGAGCTGTTCGTATGACAAGTGACGCAGCCCCTTGACAGTTTTGGTCGCCCGACGCTGAGGAAGCTCCATGGACGTGAGATCCCACTTTAGCCATGGGTACCATGCTTGAATTACATATCCAACATGTGGGCATATATAAGCTGGGGGTATTTGGCGGAAAATCGACGGTTCGAATTGCCAGAAAGCTCTCGGTAAAAGCCCAACCATTTGGATCCCCTACTTCTACTCCTTTTTCGACTGCACCGAGCAGCCGCGATCTTCCTGGACCAACATACCGAGATCCTTTTCGAGGGAGTTTTTCAGATCCTGGTCCCCCAGCTTATATGCGTGAACCATCGGTGTGGTAAATGGAGAACTCGACATTTAGCCACTTTAAAGAAAAAGTGATTTTGGACCGACCATCCATAACTCTTGTCAAGGTCGATATAAAACTGGATACGGCCTTCTGGATCTCTGATCACTCACCAAACTTTGATGTCATCGATGTAGAGTAAACAGTTTGACGCAATTTGACTCACTAGACTGTTTATGAATACAAAAATAAACGGGGCAAATTTTCCGAACCCTGTGGCACTCCGCATTCTACGTGAATTGGATCTGATATGGATTCACGTACTCTCACCTCCAGACACCTATGCAAGAGAACATTGCAGATCCACCCGAGAAGAGAGTCACCAATGCCACATCTTTGAAGTTTGGCGGGAAGGATATGATGGTCCAACCGGTCGAATGCCTTAGAGAAATCATAGTAAGCCACATCAACTCCTGCACCAGCACCCACAGTTTGGGTCCACCTGTCTCGAGCGAACAATAGATCGGTTGTGCAAGATCGATTTTGGCAGAAGCCGTCTTTCTGCTGAGCAATGTAACTAAAGCCGTTCAGATAAGACATCAGTGCCTCATCAATGATAGTCTCCATAACTTTTGACAGGATTGGCGATAGAGTCACTGGTCTATAATTAGCTGGGTCGGAACGACCATCCTCTTTGTAAATGGGAGTTAATATTTCGTGTTTCCGCACTGCAGGAATGTGCCGCACGTCAAGGCAGTGCTGGAACAACCGCGCCAAAGTTCAGCCGAAATAATAGTCGCTACAGCAAGCGCCTTTGGGCGAATGTCGTCAATTCCTGGACAGGCGTGCAGGCGCATGGATAGCAGCTTTCTCATCACGATGTCTGCGGTAAGAGTTATATGAGTCAGTCCTGCTGTGGGCACCATAGATTCCAAAGATTCAGGAGACCACGGGATGCAATGAAACGTTGGTGCATATTGTTGCTGCAGAATGTTCGACGCTTCTTTAGCACTCCGAGTTAGACCATCCGCTGTTTGAAGAGGGGGAAATCTACTTTTCACCTTGCGGAGTCTATTCACGTGCTTGTACAGAAGATTCGGATTTGCAGTTAATCTCTCATCTAAAGCATTTTGATAAGCTACTTTATCCCGGCGCACTAATTGGTTACGGTGCTCACAGTGGACAATATTTGTCTTCCAGTACTCGGACTCGGTTCAGTTTTGTGGGTATACCACGCCACGTTGCGCATCACCATGCGTTCGCGTGTCCTGATCCGTGTAAACGACGTCATGTTTCTGGAACTGATAGTCTTGGTTTCCGATGCTC